CACACACACACACACACACACACACACACACACACACACACACACACACACTATAATCATATTGTTGCCGTTAGCGTTTCGTGCATCGATACCTAAATAAGGTCAGCCTCTTGAAATAGATAACTCCACACACACACACACACACTATAATCATATTGTTGCCGTTAGCGTTTCGTGCATCGATACCTAAATAAGGTCAGCCTCTTGAAATAGATAACTCTATGCATCGGGCAATGCCGTACCGGAGGGATGTTTTCATTCAATCTGGCTAATACCTATTTGCGAATATATTATTTCTATATTGAGGATCAATTATATTCGTATTCATATTACTGTTTCGTATCATTCATGCGTCATGCTAGAAAACGCAATTTATAACGATAATTATGTCAGGGAAATTTATCTATCGATCTATATATATATAATACTCAAATTAATATAATATAGCACCCAGTCTTCCATATGGACCCTATCTAAACAGATACATTTGTTTGCGTTCGTGGAACACTGCCGCATCTATAATAGTTCTTGTTCGGCGTAATAAGAATGGAACCACCCCCAAGGACTCCCTATGCGTGCAAGGCGTTTCAGAGCATGTAAAACTGCTTAAAATATCATCTCGTTTCTCGCATAAAACCATTGACGTTCCGCGTCATTCGCCAGAGGGAGGAAATACCGCGAATGCGTATCTCGACCAGATTCCGTTTTCGGTCGCTAATTTAAATTTTCGTATTCAAATTCTAAGCGGAACGAGTGTTCCGTAAGCTGTATAAGTCGTTCTGCAGCGTTACGACGTGCTACATTAGCAGTCTAGACGGCATTCGATTTTGGGCCGTAAAATATGAGAAATTGCCGACGAAATGCAATTAAGATTCGTCGAGCGGGAGCGGAATTGCAACAGCCGCAATCGCAAATCTTGAAATCTTTTGCGGAGAAGTTTGGTAAGAAACTTCCCGCGACGAACTAGCGTCGGCAGAGTGGATGTTATTTCAATAACTGCGTCATCATTCATCGCTTAGCATGCAAGACGAGCGCATCTCTCATAAAAAAACATCCTCGACGCACAACCTCTAAGACGACGGATGCACGCGAGTCTTCTTTTGCAGTCCGACTCTCAACGAGAAAACTACGATTATTATACAGACTGTGCGCGTAGCAATTACACGTCGACACGCCTTTGTCGCTATGTAACGTTACGGCGGTGCCCTTCCCTTCAACGTGATGTATCCACGCGTATATTTGCCCGCTGTTATTATCATTAGTGTATCTTTCGCGCACTACTTTCATGTAACTATCTCGCACACGTCGAAAGGAAATTCTCCGGTCTGTATTTATTACCAATTGCAATTTTCGTTCTTAGTTGGAAATTTTGTTGCTAATTCGCACCGAGGTCTATATGCACGATTCGTAACATTTACAACATAGATTAGGCCCGTGTCAAAACATTGATTTGCTATCCACATACGAGCGAACACTAAAATACGAACGAAA